AATCCTCAAAGACGATGTAAAGTGTGCACCAAACGTAAAAAACGCTGCGAGACTACTTGGGAGTGCAAGGAATGTCTTGTGGCATTACATATTCCCGAGTGTTTCGAAATCTACCATACAGAAGTAGATTATTAATTAATAAAACGTTATTGTTATAAATATTTATTCATATCTGTGTAAAATTCTTTATATAAGACACTACCAACGCGCTAAGGCGGCACTGCTTAAAGCTTCGCGCTCGCAGATGCGGTGCGGCGTCAGTGTGACGCCTTACCGTATGTTAAATCGCGGAGCGCGGCGCGGCGACCGAGAGTTAAATCGTAGCGCAAGTGGTTAATAAATTAAAATTATAAAACTAGAATATATTTATCTTTTAATTAAGATTCATTTAAAATTTTCCTTAATATATTTGATCTCTTAGAAAAAAATCTCAGCACCAAAAAATACCGATATTACCGGTATTACCAGTTTTGCAGAAATCTTAGTACCGAAATACCGATATTAAAATTTTGTTCGGTATTGGAACCACTAGTTAGTTCCCGTACATACCACTCATTGGTATTACACGGTGACGTTGCCAAAAACTGACCCGCGATACCGCGTATATCATGAAAAACTCATGTGTACAGTGTTACCCGCTCCTCCTGTAATTACTTTAGACTAAAATAAATATGTATTCGCGTACGAAAACTTCCGTTAAGTGGCTCAGTCATTTACCTACCCGAGAATTTCGATCACTGGGAGAAATATAGCTTAGGTCGATTACGCAAGGTATCGAGATACCAGCGGTACAGGGATAGCATAGTCTATTGTGCATATTGCATGTACGAGATAAATATCGGGCTTTACTGTACAGTCTTTGAAACTCACGGAGTACTCATGGGGAACCGTTCCAATATAATCTGTTGTGATAGGTGCAACGTAAGCATAACCACAATTTTACCAAGTGTACGCAACTGCGAGGAATGTCATAATCATGCCTCTTCTTTATAGCAGAACACACCGACGACTTTTACGAACTCTCAGATCCAAGCATATTACTTATTTCCGGAAAAGAAATCTAATGAACCTTTTTCAACTCCTGTGCAAACAAGTTTGCGCCGTGATACGCTTGTGGACCGACGATATTTACTGTACATTGTGCGCCGGTAATATTCCGCCGACGGAACCGCGAGACAAAGTTAACTATCACGTGCCTGTAATAAACGCGAAAGTAAGAGCCGGATTCATTCAGTGCTGCCGGTGTCGGGCAAATATAATGCGGTTCCTGCTCGCGTATAACTGCGATATTTGCATGCAGCAGCTTATCATCAGCGATTCGGAGTAATAGCACGCTTTCATGATATTCCCTTCTTCTCACCACGGTTATATTCCCCCAGTAAATTCAATGAGAACTTTCCTGTCCACGCGTTGCCGAATAGCGCGAGTTTTCCGCTTAGATTTACCCGCAAATCTAGACGCGCCTTCGTACACACTCTGTGAGCGGTGCAACGACGCAAATTTCCTGCGCCATATCCGCCGAGTTTTAGGAAGCCACGGAGTCGAACTCGGGCGAAGACGAGCGGACGTTCGTTCAGGGATGCCAGATTCCGGCCGCTTGGTAGCATGCGGTAGCATGGAGGGGATGCGCACACAGCTTCGAGCCGTGACATGAAGCTGTGTGCGCATCCCCTCCATGCTACCGCATGCTACCAAGCGGCCGGAATCTGGCATCCCTGCGTTCGTTGTCAGTTGTGTCACGAGAGCCTCGTGACCTATAAATCGTTAATAGAATGTGTAGAGTGTATACAGCAACACGCCTACGTCATAAATAAAGTAAACTTCGTCGGAGCGCGCAACCTCAACGACCTTACGGTGTTTGTTTTCTCTGGAGACCACCGTCTTCCGTCACGTTTTCCTTCTTACATTTTCGTGAACGACTCCCTTGCCGCGGGCGATCTCGGGTTTTGACCGAAAATAGCGGTAACTTCCAGTCAATGGTCCGAGGACTAAATTCCTTTTAATTTTTTTTTAGCCGCGACCGACCGAGACGTAACACGGTGCTTTCAATCCACGCTATAACGCGACGCCACCGATGAGTTCGCCACTCGAATCTACTACCGCGCTTGGTTTTTTTTCGCATTTACAATTGTCGAACAATTTAAGTAGTAACAATTCATGCCTCAAATTTATTAACGCGCACTGATTTATATTATATCCGAAAAAAATACCAGAGTAATACTTTGAGTAGAATGCGCAAGTAAGCACATTCCTTCTTTCGGTCGCAAACAAAGCATTTAGGTACAATTTCATAGTGTCGCTTGTCGCTGAGATGAGTAGTCACGTGATCGAATTTTGTCCACTTTCTTGTCGCTAGCGATGCCGAAGAAAAGTTGGATTGAATCTAACTTTTAGCGACGTCGCTCTCACGCAAAATGAGTTTAAATATGGAAGATGTAATATATTGCGAATCGCAAGATGTAAGTACAATAAATAAATAAAGAAATAAGTACAAGTTTCTTATATTTATTGTAGTAAAATATTGGAATTAAAAAATCAAATAAATAGAATGAATTCAGTTTGTTATAATTTCAAGGTTAATTGTTAGGTTAGGTTAATGTATTACAAAGTTAATGTAATCATGCACAGCAGGAGAAAAATTGTTAACATTAATTAATATAATTTTATACAATTTTCAGATAGCTGTTGTACATACTTGTGGAATATGTGAAATGATTATCGAGGAAAAGAGTATTCCGTCTCATGATTGCGTGGAAGGATACAATCGGTTCTTCATCGATACAAATTTTTATTTTTATCCAGTAACAAGTATAATATATATATTTACTTACTTTTTGTTTTGTCAGTGAGAAAAATAATATTCTACAAAAATTGATATTATTATTTGTAGATGATAATCGCATTGTTCGACGAAGCCTTGTCGACAATGAAGAAGTTGTCTTGCCGGTTGAAAAAGTTACAGGTAAGTAGAAACTTTGAAATCCTGAAAGTTGCAGTAATAAGTGCATTTTTTAAAATAAAATTGATTTTACGAACCATAAAAATATTTCCGTCAAACAAAAAAACATCACAAGGAAAAAATGAAAGTAGATTTTATAATAAAAAAGCCAAAAGAAAAACTGTAAAGTCATTGAATTACGACGACGAGGAACTCCTCATTTTATCCGTTCAAGAAAAAAGACCCTTGTGGGATTTTACTATTCCATTAGAACAGCGATGCCAACGATTGACAAAAAAATTGTGGGATGAAGTCTCGGAAACATTGGGAGGTAAAAAAACGTTAAAAACATTCGTGGTTAAAATATTTAAAAAAAATTTATTTACAGGCAAACTTAGCGGGGAAGAAGCAAAAAAAAAGTTTAAAAATTTACATGATGCCTATCGACGAATAATTCAGTCCGAAAATCTTTCTAGTGGATCAGCTAGACCTCCTCCTACAAAAAAGTGGCACCATTATGACTCTATGGAATTCCTGCGTGACTTCTGTCTTGTCAAAAAGTAAAAATTATATATTTTGATTACGTACGCTTTCGAACTGTTTTGTTTTTAACTTGTAATTTTTATATTTCTAGGGGAAAAGTTTCTAATATTGATGTTAATGATGATGACTCTTTAAATAATATTGACCAATCAATAAATGATGATGATGCAACTGGCAATGATCAATTAGAATCAGGGGCATCAGGTACTTGACTTATAGTAATATCTGTCTTGAATGTTTTATGCTAAAGTGGTCTTAACAGAAACAAGAAGTATAAGAGTGACCTATAAGAAATAATAAAAGCTCTTGACTATTATTTGATCAAAAATTAAAATATAAAAATAATAATAACAATAAACAACCAATAAATTGCAGATACGCAAATTAAAAGAAAAAAGAATTTAGGACAGCAGTCCAGTGCATTAGATAGAATTGCTGATTCACTTTGTCAACCATCAACTCCATTTGCACTACCGCCAGCACCCAAGTATGATGAAATTGATTCGTCTTTAGCAGTAATCGGATGGAGGTTGAGACAGATGAATCCAAAAAAGCAGTTACATGTCATTCAGCAAATGATGAACCTAACATATGATATACTTAGAGAAGATTAAGCTTTATTGATTTGTTTTAAGTAAAAATTGTCTTTTATGTTACATTTTGTTCATTTCATTTTATTATTGTTTTGAAAAGATATATGTGTATAATAAAGTTTATAATAAAATTTATATAAAGTTAGTAAATATTATTAATTATTTATATAAAGTTAATAAAGTCAATAAACACAAACACAAACAAGACATAAGCAAGACAAAACATTTTCAAACAAGTAAAATTGCATATACAATTAATCTATACAATTAATGATTAGAAAAACTAACAATGATAGAACTGGCTTGGTATAGCACCTTCACTATTAAAATATTTACAGAATTCTTCTCGAATTTGCATCGCTCGACGAGAACTATTATTAGAACCGCAATGAGTTATGTTTGCAAATGCACTATTATCTATGCAATTTCTCCAAGAGCCTGGAATAAAGCCGTCATCATTTTCTTGATCAATTAGTGTTGGAGTAACATATTCATTTTCTTCAATATCTATTCGACGAATCCAATTATGAAGACATATAATGGCTTTAACAATTGAAATTGTCTTTTCCATACTACAATTGATCGGTCGTTTCANAATTCTCCATTGGCTGGCTAAAATACCAAATGTATTCTCGATTGTTCTTCTGGCTCGACTCAAGCGATAGTTATAAATATTTCGCTCGTCGTTTAAACCGCCTTTTCCTGGATAAGGCCGGAGCAAATAATCCGTCAATTGAAAGGCTTCATCGGCCACTAGAACATATGGTAAAGGGGGTCTACCTGGGCTGAGAGGTTCTGGTGCAGGTACGTTCATTTCCTTTGATGCAAATTTTTGACCAATCGTTGAATTCATAANAATACCACTGTCACTGCAGCGACCATAGGCTCCTATATCAACAAACGTGAACATATATTGTGCGTCACAGATTCCGAGGAGCACAATACTATGATACTTCTTATAATTAAAATAAGATGATCCTGCGTTAGGTGGACACTGGAAAAAGAATAATCATTTAGACATCAAATTTATAATATCCTATGATAAATGTAACATTAATCAATAANATTACCTCAATAATAACATGTTTGCCGTCAATTGCGCCTATGCAGTGATTAAAATCCCATTTCTCTTCAAATTCTTTAGCAAGGTGTAGCCATTCCTCTGTAGTTTTTGATGGTGGGATCACTTTCTGATGGATACAGTTCCATATAGCATTGCATGTTTCACCTATTATGTGACTTATTGTTGACACTCCAGCAAGAAAGTGATACGACATTGAATGCATCAAATCACCAGTTGCTAAATATCTAAATATATAATTTAATCAAATATAATTATTTTTGAATTTATGATGTTATGCAATGACAAACAAACCTTAATGTTATGGATAGTCGCTCAGCAGGAGGTAATGGTTCTCTAATTATTGTTTGTTTAGTGATTGCAGGTGCCACTAAGTGTAACAATTCTTCAAATTGCGTAGCTGTCATACGATAATAGTTGCGAAAATTTTCTGGTGTTAATCTTGGAACAGATGCGTAATAAAATCCATGTTCACGTCGTCTTTCAAACAATGGATCAACCCAAAATCTCTTCTTTTTATATATTTTTTTTAATTTTATACATTCATTAATGTATACAGCGACTATCGTTTTATTTCGNCGTAGTTGCTCTTCATTTTTATTATGAACAATCGCGGCAACTTGACAGGCCCACTCGTGATATTTTTCTTGATATGACATTGTGCACACACACAATTTTGGCATTTATTTTACACAACACCAAGTTTCATTCTGACAACATAATCAATATATGTAATCATCAAAAGACATTTATCGCTCTTATCCCATTTACATGAGCGACAGTCGAAGTCAGCGACATATGTAATCACGTGACTCGTTTGTCGCTGAATATGAGCGACAAGCGACATCATGAACACATACCTTTTAAGACGACTCTTGACGGTCGGCGCCACTTCGGCGGAGGACGCGGCGTCTTTCAAGATGGCGGTACCTAAGCCAAAAGAGCGCGGCAAAGCCGTGAACAAGGAAGAAGAATGAAAACGCTTCAAGATGCGCAGTTTAGCGCGTTCCTGAAGCACCAGAATATTAAAGATGAGCTGGTCATCCGTTTCCTTTCAGAAATTAAAAACTTACAATAAGCAATGAGAATATATAGGAATGCATATAATATGAGGTTATTTAGGTACAATAAAATAGAGTAAAAGGCAACTCTCGATTGAGAGTATTATGCAACAATAGATAGTATATTCTTAATAAAGTAGATATTTATATAATAAGTACAATAATGAGTAACAATTCGAGTGCAATTAATATATTACTCGAACTAGCAATATTTAGCATGTTCTTACTAAAACGGTTGGGTATATATTGTCACGTCCGTAGACGTGGGCATGGTGAGCCCCGGTTGACCTGGTTTACCTTTTTCTTTTTTTTTTCTTATTATCTTGTTTTATTACCATGTGTTGTCAGTAGTATCTCCCATTGTCAAGCGTCCGCAAAAACGTTAAACTACAGTTCGAACCACTGTGTCATCACCTAACCTTTAGAATTTATTACTCCGAGTCTCGTTTTTGTACCTACTAGTTTTGCAAGTGTTGTTTTCACTGTTGTTTGGCATTCATTATGTTCATATAACTGCTTTTAACGTATACCACACGTTTTGTTAGCCTACGAGTAAAATTTAGCTGTTTTACCCTGTGACAAAATCTGATTAGTCGTTTTCCTAGTAACAAGCAATCTGATTGGTCAGTCATCTTATCGTGGATTCCGACTCGTCAAGTCCTTGTAAGTCATCTCCCGTAATTCTTTTCTTGAAAATCGGCCGAGAAGTTGGTTAAAAACCCGTAAAGTCATCTGATTGGTCAAGACAGTTTTCTGTCAATTCTAAGTCTCTAGACTCCTACAAGTCGCGACAACTGTTGCCTTCTTCAAAATTTGTTCAGGAAGTCGGTCAAAATCAGTAAAAACATCTGATTGGCTGATTGCCTGGTGACAAAACAACCTGATTGGCTGCAAAAACTTGCCGTACCAATTGACAAAGCACGTAGCAACTACGCCGAGTTAGCCTTCTCTTGAAATTCGTGTTTTAAACCGTTGAAAGGGGTAAAAGAAATCTCAGTCGTTAACCAGTTCACTAAAACGCGTTTGATTGGTCAATATATTTGTTGCAATTTCTGGACTCTCTGTACGCCTGCAAGTAGGGTCCAATAACTCTTTCTCAAAAGTACGTTCAGGAGCATGGTCAAAAGATCGAGAAACGATCTGATTGGTCAATAGCTTTGTCGCGTCTTTTAGCTCCTTAAACCCGTGTGAGTACCACCCGGTAAGTCTTGTTCAAAAATCACTTCAAAATCCCGGTTAGAAATCAAAAGGTGTTCTGATTGGTCAAAAGAGTCTTTTTTAAGAACACCGCCTTGAGGCTTTGCGCTTCTTGAGCATAGCATATAGACTTCGAATAGATGCGAGTACAGTAAAATAAGCCGTAAGACACAAAGTTAAGAGGTAACTCATGCCGGTAACAGGTTCTACTAATAACTACCGTTCCTTTCAAGTACCAGAGTTGGTAATATTACCAGTACCATTATTTTACCATACTTAAACATTTGCCACGGTCGGTAAATTAACAATTGCCAAAAACCAAGTTTCCGAGTAATTTATCAACCCGCATTAGTTATTATCATATTTCTGTTACCGTTAGTTATAAATTAAGTAACTCAGATCAGAACCAGGCAACAACCCGTAAGTTGCAAAATTAGTATTTCAGAAACTAAAAAAGATTTAAAAAACGGTTTGCAGTATTGCCTTCAGCGTAAAAACTGCAAAATACCAGTGTGTTTCAAAACGTCTAACTATTGTTGTTAACAAACAATTGTTTAAATAATTAAAATTATCAACTTTTTAGTACGTGGTATTTTGCATCTAAGTAATATAATGAAGGATCAAAAAACCGTTTTTCAATAACTCTTACGGTTCGCGAGATATTTAAATTGTTTATTTTAATTCATCGCCGTACTTTACAAACCAGTGGATGAAGGGCCTCTGTAAAATTAGGTTTGCCCTAACTGTCTTAGGTATCGAGATTTCCTAAATTTACAATATCGACTATGTGTCGTTGAACACAGCGTGTGTTAATAAACAAAATGTTTATATTTGTCAAAAATTATCTTGACAAATTCCGGGACTTTTCGGAACTTTTTCACCTCCCCGGTGGTGGTTACTGCTGTTAGTATGGTTGTTTATGTTATGAATTAATTATTATTACTGCATGTCTTTATTAATTACTTCTACATTATTATAATAGTTTCTATAATTTACGTTCCTATAATTCTGTCGTAATAATTAAATTCTGCTTTATTATTGTAACCGCATATATATCTGTTGTCCTGTATAATAGTTAAACAATTAGCATTATTAGTGTTTTGTAAATTAGTTCAGTAGTGTTAAATGTACAATTAATCTTTTAATTAATATTTAGGTAATTTAGGCAAAACGTTGTAAAATATTCTGTACTATTCGTGCGCGAAGTGTTTCCACGGCAAAGTTCGCTTGTGAGGGGCCAGGGTCACTGGCTTGGCCGGGCAAACGGCCCGAAGTAGAGATAAGGCACGCGCCGACATAAGGGACGCGTGGGACCGCGGACCGTTGGCGGCCGCGGGACCGTTGACCAGGAGCAAGTGACCGCTGGACCCGTGGGACCGTGCAGCGTCAGCGTATTTGGGACGCTATATAAACGGCCGGAGCGACCGGTCCGGACACACAGTCTGTCTCTGAGATTCATCCTGTTCGGTTCGCTTCGCGAAAAAGTCAGTTCAGAATAATTCTTTTCAGTCGGGACTTAGAATATTTTAATTTTTTTCGTGTCGGGACTTAGAATATTTTAATTACTCCCAGTTAGAACTTAGGATATTTTAATGTTTTCGTGTCGGGACTTAGAATATTTTAATTTTTTTTACAGTCAGAACTTAGATCATTTTAATTACTTCTAGTTAGAACTTAGAACA